TAGGTGTACCATTGGAGCAATGCTCGGAGGCATACAAGGCACCCAACAATCTAAGATAAGGTAAGATACAAACTTTGTGTTCTACTTAATTGGATTATGTTATGCGACCCTGAAAATGTATTTTTTATTTAATTTTTACAATTACACAGGTGCGAATTTGTTGCGTATTTCGTTAAGTTTGATCAGGTGGTCAAACTCGGATTTTTTTCATATGTACAACACATCTAGGTATTTAACATTGACTTCTCGCAAGGCAGCAGTTAAACCTGATCAAGAGTGCTATAAGTGAACATGAAAGCTATTTGGTTTGTTTTCCTGTGTTTTGTTGGCGCTATCACGTGTGACGAACCTGGTAAGAATGAAGTTGACAAAAGATGATAATTGACAACGATAATGCGAACTCTTATAGATATTTTACAAAATCAGTCAACTGCATACCGCAGTCTTTATGTACGGACCGTTCCATATATTTTATTTAGATCTAATCGCAATGGGAGACGTGCCGTAATTCATATTCTACAGAAAACTATTGAAAAGTGGGGCAGGTTGAAGTAAATTTTGACAACAGAATACTTAAAGCTATTGTAAGAATTTATGTTTAAATCAACTGCTTCCGTGGCCCAACGGTTACCATGCTGGACTGCCACGCAGAGGTCCCAGGTTCGATACCCGAGCCGGGAGAAATATTTGTATGGCCAACGTTTATTTCTCTCGAGAGTGTGGGTGTAATTTGTGGTTGTCTCTGTGTGTGTCCATGGCACCCGCGACACAAGGGTTCCCTAGTGCGGGTCTACGTTGAGTGTGTGCGTTATTATTAATATTATTATTTAGATACATCACGCATTAAATACACCATAAAACCATATTAAACCTTACTGACAACTTTTCGAAATAGTAAACGCTACGTCTTAAATTCTATACCTACTTCTTTTTCGTAAAATCCTTTCTATAAATACATTTATTACGCAGATAAATAAAAAGAAAATTAACGATAAAATTTATTTTTAGCCGACACGTGAACCGATTTTAATGATTCCTTTTTTGATGGAAAGAGGGTACTTCAGTATTGGTCCCATTTAAATTTTAAGATAATATTCCACCTCTGAGGGTAGAAAACTAGGGGATGAATCCGGTTTCGCGCACTTTCCGGTAACTGATTACAATAAAACTTGGCAAATAGATGTAACTCCACGAACTTTTAACGTAGGTTTTTTTTTGTAAAAAAGTTATTTTCCTGAGAAGTTTAAACACTCCCGTTGCAATGAATAATAACGCACACACGCTCATCCCCGCACTAGGGATGCGGGTATCGCGGTACACAACCACAAATAAAAAAAAATGGAAAAAATGTATTATGTTTCTTTGTAGAATTAGCTCTAACACTAAAATGCCGAAACGATGAAGTGGCGAGGTGTCTCTTTAAATGCCCTCCAGAAATAACATGCCGTAATCGTTTAATACGTTACCGATGTGTAGTTCCCAAAGACCCATGCCAGACCAAATGCGTTTGCAAGTCGGGGCTATACAGGAACAATGCCGGGAATTGTGTAACGAAAGACAGATGTGGTAAGTAACATAAGTATAATCTCTTATTTCTGCATTATATTGACTATATTCAATGCTTAAGCGCAAACCACACCGCGAGCGAAGCTAAACTCACCTTAGCTCACTTAGGGTCGTATTCTAGAACTCTACTCAATGCTCAAGTCAGGATTGCAATACCACTCCATAATGGATTGTCTCTATTTAGAGACAATCCATTATGGAGTGTCTCCAGATCAGGATAAAGACAATCCACTAAGTTAGAACGATTTCTAATTTTTTGGGCCCATACCTTCCCCCATCCCACGTGCATTAAATTAGCTCATATATTGGCCGTGTGTCCACTAGTTTGCCTTGTCGTTTATTAAAGAAACTTATTGTAATACTGGCTGTGTAGTGTAGATTGTCGTTGCGAATTTAGCACTTTTCACTAGACTGGCTGAATGGCTTCACTTTGTGGGTCATCAGTGCTGTATTTTAATATAAAATTTCTTTATTTTCTTTTTAGACTAAAAACTCGTCTCCACCAGGCAAGAAAAAGTGGGACCTTTATTTAGTACGAGGATATTTTGGTTGCAGCAATAAATATAAACGTTTTGATTTTTTTTTGCACACGCATGTTTTTTTTTAACTATCTCCCATATAATTTAAAACTTAAGGTTTAACGTACATATAATAGTAGACAGAAACTAAATAACTACTCCAAACGAATTCGACTTGTTGGCGATGTGTGGCGCAATCTGGAGGTCTACCACGAAATACGATACTACGTGACTGCGTCCGCATAATATTTATGTTAGTTTTACGATGAAAGTTATGTCAAAATTCGATACGAAAGCTATTATTTGACGTTTTGTACGCATTTCGTGGTAGCCTCCGATCCGATCCGAAGCTAAAACGATGACCGTTGCTTCGTATTTCATACTTATATCGTGGTAGACCTGGTGTCAGGTAACCGACCACGGAATGTCTAACTATGATACCTTTTGGCCGATATTCCTCCTTCATGAAAGTCGGCAGATGGTCGGTCGACGCTCTCACCACAAATGAATTAAAATTCACGTTGTGGCGAGACTCCAACAGCTCGACCCTCAGGGTGTATTTGGCTTTCAGTCAGATGTACTCCACTATCTCCTCAGATTTTGTTTTCGACAAAGCTAGAAACAACAGATTCAAGTAACGGGACGAACAAGCCATGCGCCAGTTGCAGTTGTCACTCAGTGCTTTAAATCGCAAAGATATGAGACATAAGTTAACAAGTGCCATGTGCCTGTAATTTCACCGGCACCTTACCCTTCACAACCGGAACGCAGTAATACTGACGTTACTGCTTGGCGGCAGAAATAGGTAAGGTGGCAGTACTTCCCTGGACGAACTCTTTCACAAGGAGCTCTACTGCCACTAACATCATAGTTTCCAGTAATTTCACATCTTTTAGTTGAATCAAGCCCAATGGCGTTTTTAATAAGTGGTATTTAACATTTAATTTGTTTTAAATTTACATATCTAATATTTGTAAAGATACATAAATAAATGAGGCTTTTGTAGTCAACGTAGCCTCGTTGAGTTTAAAAATATTTTAAATTAAAAAACCTTACATACTTCGATCGTGTATACTAGGCATTAGTCGCTACATTCAATCCTCTAGTTTTCTCGAATGCGACAAACCAAAGGGATACTACACATGCGGTAGCGCGTGTGACAATGAATGTTTCAAACTGCAATACCAACCAGACGAACTGTTCTATCTAGAACCACAGGCAACTTAATAGCTAGAACTTCAAGCGCAACGAGTGCTACTGTGACACTGACTATGCGAGTAACTAAGTTGGCGACTATATTCCTATCTCTAAATACCATTAGTGCAAAACCTAGTCCCTTAATTGTAATGTAATTAAATCATCGAAATCGATAAAAGGGTTTGGAAAAGTCACGCTAAAAGCTTGATCTGCTATTGAATACTTACAAAATACCTGACCAAATCTCCACCGTCGTCATGTGAATACCTCGTATATGACTTCTATGTAATTTTTTAGGACGATGTGGTATAAAATGTAGTAAACGCAATACTGTCGTCCGCTAAGTGACAAAATAATTTTTTGGACGTCATAAAAAACCATACCCCAGTTTTAGAATATTGAATGTTTCAGCTATGCATCGTTAGGATAAGTTCCGAGAAGTCGAACATGTTAACTAATTTTAACTGTTTAAAGGAGAATTTTGTGCTCTATTTTTTGCTAAGTTCAAATGGTTATTAGACCATTTGTCATTCAGCTGCGTTTGTAGTTAGCATTTTAATATTTAAATTATAGGTACCTCGTCAAATACTATATTACTTCAACAATGTATTTGAGCAAAACGTTTATAAGCTTTTCTTCAACAAAAATCAGTAAAAACTATGTTAAAACAAGTATGCGAGGTTTTCACTCTAAGGCGACGATAGATGAAACTATATATATATATATGTATATATATATACTATAATAATAATAATAATAATAACGCACACACTCAACATAGCCCCGCACTAGGGAAACCCTGTGTCGCGGGTGCCATGGACACACACGTAGACAACCACAAATTACACCCAAACTCACGAGAGAAATAAATGTAGGCCATACAAATATTTCTCCCGGCCCGGGAATCGAACCTGGGGCCTCTGCGTGGCAGTCCGGCATGGTAACCGTTCGGCCACGGAGGCAGTTACAAAACTATATCTATATATATATATATATATATATATATACTGTGGATGAAACTGAAGTTCAAGCCAATTGTAAATTGTAAATACTGGCACAGTGTTCGTCAGGGAAGACTAATAACAGCCTCAAAATTGCATGAAGCGGCACATTGCAAAACAAATGGTTCACTGGTTTAACGAATTTTAGGGGAATATAAAGGGCTTGAAACGAAAGCTATCCAACGTGGAAAAAGATGTGACCGTCAGGATGGCTGGTCGCCTGTCGCATCTGCCACTGAGTGTATATTCAAGAATTGCTACCTATTTGCTACCATTTCTAAATAATTGCTACCTTTGATATATTCTGAGAAATCAAAAAATAATTGACCAGCCATTCTGACGTCAGGATCTGAAGTACCAACGCCTGCTCTTTGTATTATGGCAATAAAGCACTAAAAACTTTTGCTTCTTTAATTTAATCAGGCACTTCGTCGTAAAATTTTCAATTTAGATAAGAAGCGTATACTTTTAATTCGTGAAAGTAGCAAATATTGGTAATACATACTTCTGGAAAATCTGCTCCCTTCATGCTGAACAAAGTGGCGACCGGACCTGATGTCAGAATAGCTGGTCAATTATTTTTTTGATTTCTCAGAATATATCAAAGGTAGCAATTATTTAGAAAAGGTAGCAATTCTTGAATATACACTCAGCGCCAGATGCGACTGGCGACCAGCCATCCTGACGGTCACGAAAAAGTTAAGAGCAAAGGGTGGTTTCAGAACTTGAACGTAAGTTGGGAGTCATAAATGGCATCCTGGGAGCTTCCCTTGATGGTGTGAGATATTTTCTTATTGAAATAAAATGCCTTTCCACTGAAAAAGCCATAAAGACGTAAAAAATGACAAAGGGTCGAAACACAAAACTGCGAATCGGCGCGATGCGAATCTGCAGCGAAGAAAACTGGGACGCGAATTGCTGCGATGCGACTTCGTGCGACAAGGCATCTCACTGACACGGTTCGGGTAACCATTCTTTCATCAACCGATGGCGATCAATAACAGTACTGAAAGTATTTTGTAAACTAGGTAGCGACGTGGATCGTAAAGAGTGTTGCACTGAAAGAAAGCAAGAAATATTTATTCCATAAAGAAACAACACAGCATACATTTAACAATTACGAAACATGATTATGACATGTAAAAAAATGGAAGTAAAAAAGGGGAAAAAAACAACAATTAGACATACACTCCAATAACACACAAACAGGAAGCAAATAACTGTAACAATAAACAATCAAACGATACGCCATAACGTGTGCATGCTGTGCTGCTACGGAATCCGTTATCCACTCAGCTTGGTGTCGTCTCTCTGCATATGCGACCGCGCTGATTTTCAGTGGATGCGACGTCGCATCGCAACTTTGTGTTTCAACCCTTAGCGTTCTTACACATAAACACGATACGACGTCGCATCGTAGCACGACAACGTCGTACCCTGGCGAGCCCTAGCTCTTGCATATACGACGTCGTATCGTGTTTGTGTGTAAGAGCCGTTAGTGCAAAATAAGTACAAAACAAAAATACAATGTCAAATTTGTTTAGACATGCTAGTCTAAAAAGAGAGGGCTGTTGTGTGTTACATATCCTTTGTTTGAAAGAACAAAAAACACAAATTGTATGGATGGATTTTGGTGAAGGATATATCACAGATGCAATTAAAAATGCAGAAATTTTTGAAAGTCATTTATAGTCCCAAAACATTGGCAAGTGCCACAAATCATTAATTTACATTAATTCCTGTATTCTCAAATCCCCGTTAATTAAATAACTGTTCTTAATGAGAAAAAAAATTGTATCGACTGACAGGCACAAACATCATGGTTAGAAATGAAAAATTTAACCTTGTGATTCTAAATTGCAATGGGATCCACAAATAAATAAGATTTTAAACAATTTTGTTCTCAATACAAGCAATTAACAAAATACGAAATCTTTCAGATGTTGAAACATCTAGGTTTACATTCATAGCTTCATGTCATTTTGCTTTAGGGTGATGGCGCCAATATTAATAGAATCTTTGTCCTTCAAAAACACACTGTTAAGTCAATGCCTGTGAGATATAATTTTGTGATTTTTATTAGGAATACTATTTTTTTTAAATAGTGGTAGACAATATAAATATTATTAATACAAGGATAAAAATAAATATATAATATTATTTGAAATAAATATTAAACGAATATTATACAAATGTCTATAAAATTATGTCGTAAATTCATGACGCCTGCAATGAAACAGAACATTACTTTATAAGTTCCTAATAACTTATAATCCACTAACACTACAATAAAGAAATCCCACTAAAACAGCAATTAAGAAAGTGCAATCAAATTCTCTTTGGCAAAAAGATGAGAATTGGTCATAATGTGTAAGTGTCAAGAAATTTGCTGCTGGTATTGGAACATGTAGGATATTATATTTATTAAGACTTCAGTCAGGGCGTGTTTCCATTACGTCGTGACGACAGATAGTCGTGCAGTTTGAAGTGTCGTGGCTTGTAGGTATATTTCGACTCATCCGTAGAACAAAGATCTATGTGCAAGACTACTTGTTCTCAGGACATAGTACATCGTTCGTTCTTCTTCGCTGTGGATGTCTGTTCGATCGTTGTTCGGTTTTATATTTCCGAAACGAAATAAGATATATGAATTGTCAAAACACCTTTACATAGGCCTTAGTTTGAATAACGAAATTAATCTCCTAACGTACTTATTCTCTTTACGCTATGTAATCACATCGGACTCTGTTCTTCGGATGAGTCGATTTAAATTAAGGTGTTCACTTTACAACACGATTAACTGTCGTTCACGACTCTTGTCGTTACGACGACAGACCGTCGAGACAATGGGAAGAGCTAGAACGACAGTCGTCAGACGATAAATGAAATGTCACGATAAAAATGTGACGGCAGATAATCGCAGCCACTATTATCGTCAGGTTTTTTTTCTTATTTATCGTTGTCTCATATCCGCAAATGACAAGGCGGCTGCCGTGAAACGATAAATTGTCGTCGCGATCTAGTGGGAACAGCTAGACACGACATTTGTTCGCCGACAAAATAAACGTCCACGACACAGTCACGACAGATAGTCGTGATATGGGTACAGGGTAGACACGACAGTCGTCCAACGACAAATAAAACGTTACAATATAATGGGAACGCACCTTAACTCTTGTAAATTAACAAGTCCACAAGCTATAACAACAATCTCATCCAAATATGGCACATATTTGGAGTTAACAGGGTGTTGTTTAAGCAGTGAAAATCCTCTGATACGTCTGACTACTCTCCCTACATGTACTAAACTTGCCATAACTTTACTCTGAAGTATTTCAGCTTGTGACTGCTTAATTCCATTCTGAATACTAGGTGGGCGCAGAAGTTTCATTCCACGTGAATTGAAAAGTGCTTCAACATCCTTGAAACGTCTGGCAGCCAAGACAACAGCATTTGGCTGTAGAATATCCACCAAGTTACTTTGTTCGACAAGAGCTTTGTCTGATATTCCGCCTCCATAACCTTGCGATATGAAACTTACTAGACCATTAGGGGTGCAACCTATCAAGTATTTAACAGTGTTGCAGTTTTTACAGTGTGACCATGTTTGTGCTTGTTTAATGGGATCAAAAGGTTTTGTAATTTGTATTTCAAGGCAGTTGATAATCATTTCAACATTTGAATATGTTATTCTAAAAACAAGTGGAAGACTTTTTTTCATTTCTTTTGGATGTGGATTGAAAATTAGATATTGAAAAAAATTACCTAGAACTTCTATACCAGTCAAAATCATTGTTGCAAGTTTATTTCTGGAAAGTTCAAGTTCATCACTTATTCTTTCAAGTGAATCATTTTGTTTTATTTTAAGCAAAGTTACTATAAGACATAGAGAATCAATTTGTTGTGTGTTTTTTTGTACTAAGTAATCAATAAGCCACAAATATTGTTTGGGCAATCCTAGGTACAACTTAGGTTTCCTAAACATTTTATCTAAAAATAGTTTTCTACTTTGCAATACTGTTTTTGCCTTGTTGATAGTTGATTCTTCCATTTCTGTATAACCAAATAGAGAAGAAGTAGCAGCTGGAGAAACGTCTTGAACTGTAGTCAGTGTACTGGTTGTATAATTTGTACTCTTATCAACCATTTCCACTTCACACTGTGTTGCAGCATGTACCTGAAAAGTAGATTAGATACTTCTTAATGTAGCCACGAAGATTTTTGTTACAAGAATATTACATGCCACAACAATAATAATTTATCAATAACTACCTTCACAGGTAATGTGCAAGTTGAAGACGTTCTGGGGACTACTAGGTCTTCACATTTTCTTTTTTTTGCTGTTGTGTTAGTGCTAGGTTGCAATAACAGTTTTTGTAATTCACAGTCTTTTGCTTGCAATTCACGTGAATGCTGAAAACATATTAGCTTTGTATACCTCGTACACAATAAATAAATTAACAATCACACTGGTAACGCCACACATGAAGTATTTTTATTTTTAAATTTCCCATATAATTTTTATTGGCTATGTTTAACTTTCACATTTTATTTTATTTTTTTTTTAATAAATAACGCACACACTCAACGTAGTCCCGCACTAGGGAAACCCTGTGTCGCGGGTGCCATGGACACACATATAGACAACCACAAATTACACCCAAACTCACGAGAGAAATAAATGTAGGCCATACAAACATTTCTCCCGGCCCGGGAATCGAACCTGGGACCTCTGCGTGGCAGTCCGGCATGGTAACCGTTCGGCCACATTCAAACCAATATCTGCTTCTTTCATGATACTTTAATTTCATTAGTAAGGCATAGCATTGAATCTTTTTCTCTCCCTTTTTTCACTGTGCCATAATGCCTTTGAGTGCAGAGAATAGAAGATAAGAAGTCGCCTCTAGAGTGCGCTGGCTTGGTAATTGCTGGCTCGCAGTACGCCAAGAGAACCTCGCCGTGAACACTTCGAGAAAAAGAAATAAAAAGAAGATCGAGACACTACGCTGTTCTAGCGGATGACGGACATTTTTTTCATTTCAAAAACTGCATTATTGTAAGTGATTGGTTTGCGTGTGAATATTCCCCTGGCGACGTACACCTCCGGCGTATACGGCCCTAATGAGGAGTTCAAGGTTTTTCACGGCACAGTTTTTCTTCATAATACCTATTTCTTTCTATTTTTTATTCTTTATTTTCTCGATGCTATAGCCGTAAATCCGACTTTCCTTACCTTCTTCTAAAACCGCGCCTTACAATCCACACCACCATCAAATTTAATAGGTTGCAAAACCTCCCAGCCGCTGCATTTCATCACACAAATCAAACTGTTGAATACATACCTCGCTTAACATACTGATATTGCGCAGCTTGGCTGTACGTTTGAGTTTTGGTTCATCTTTCATAAATCTCACTTTATAATAGTTCATCAAATCCTCCGTCGGCTACAAAATAGAATATTATTAGGCATGTCGAATATTCCACAGTAGTACAAATAGTAAACAGAAAGACATAGAATTATCAACTTACTTCAAAGTGATCTTCACAACAATACATTAGGAGAACTTTGAAATATTCTACGTTTACTTCAGAACACCATTTTTTTCGCAAATCTTCTCTAATACGAACAAAGATCTTGTTGGGGTTGTTTACTGAATCATTTTCGCAAGTAGGAACAAAACACTTTCTGTATTCCATAGCTGATACACTTGATATTATGTTGTCTCCCGGCAGCGAATTATTTAAAAAATTAGAAAATTGCAACGCTAACAATATTATGTTTAACGAACGTCAGCGAATCAAGTGACAGATGACAGTGACAGCCAGCCACCTAGATTTTTTTTTCGCGCACGGACGAAACTCTCATAAAGCCACTGATGACGTCGTTGAATATCAAACTTTTTGAAAAATATAAATCTCAACTTATTATTATTAACAAATACATAGTAAATATTACCTACTTCTAAAATTTTAGACCAAACGGCTAGGAGTATAAGAAGCATTTTACTGTGTAATGTAAATAATAGAAAAGAATAGACAGACAATGAAATTTATATGAATTTTAGAACTAGTACCTACCTACTTACATAATATAATTATTCATTCATATAATTTATATATTGAAGTGACAGAGCCGTCAGAGCCTTACACTTATTCACACAAATTTTTTAGACGACTTTTTCCGAAACGGGTTGTCGTTACTTTCCTTAATTTATGTATTGTTATTAGGGTGGCTTTATTCAGGGCTGCATATAGCCTCCTCACTGCGACCATCAACTGATCTATTGTGATCACCACTAATTACAGTTCGGAGCCAAGGCTGACAACATTGAAGAACTGAAGAAACTAATTGATTAATATTTGTAAGTAGTCTCACAAACACTTCGTCGAAATAACGACAAATTATATAGGGTGAAGGCACCAATGATCGACAATAAGAGAAATGTGTCTTTAAATTTGAAATAGGTAACTTTTTTATTTTACAGTAGACGGTTTTCTCAAAATGTATAAGACCTATAAACGGCCACTGCTGGAATATGGACATCAAATCTGAAGCCCTTACTTCCAAAAAGTCATAAACCTTCTTAAAAACGTTCAGAGGAAAGTACCTAAAATGCCACAGGCTCTTCGACGCAAATCCTATAAGGAGAGTGTGGAGGAGAGACTCAAAGTCAAAGTCAAGGCCAAATAATCATTTATTCCATAGGTAAAATTTTTGCACTTGGAAACGTCATTTTTTAAGCTACTGCTCGTTCACTGCGCTGACCTCCCTGAGAAGAACGAGCTAGAAATTCTAGGGATTGTTCTTTTCAAATAAACTTAAACGCTATGGAATACACTTTGAATCATAATTGTGTGGAATCTAGACTTCTTGTCTTTCCATACTTCTTTATAAATATACTGTGATGCCACAGTCATGATACCAGTCTCCATAAACTTTTCTCTGAGAGAAACCCGAGAACGTAAACGGTACACAGAACGAATCGCTCGTTTTTGCAATACAAATTTGGTTTGTGTATCTGCCGCTTTACCCCACATGAGAATCCCGTAGGACATTTATGGTATGGAAGTAACTAAAGTAAACTAGTCTAGCAGTAGCAACATCGGTAAGCTCACGTATTCTACGGACTGCGTATGCAGCAGAGCTTAATCTGCTGGCTAAGGAAGATATATGTGGAAACCATTGAAGTTTATTATCTAAAGTCACTCCCAAAAAGACAGCTATATTAACAAAGTCTAACTTTTCTCCATTTATTTCTACGATTGATTTCTAGTCGATTTTACATTAGGTAATTCAAATTTAACACACTTTGTCTTCTTGGCATTGAGCAATAAATTGTTAACATTAAACCAATAAACTACCTTTGAAAGGGTATCGTTAATATTATCATAGTTAAAGTGATGAGCATCTGTTTTAAAAATCAAGGATGTGTCGTCAGCAAACAATACTATGTCGCAAAGGTCTTTGATAAAGAATGGTAGATCATTAATATAAATGAGAAATAAGAACAGTCCAAGTGTTGAGCCCTGCGGAACACACATTTTTACCGGAGAACCCAAGGAAGTCACTCCATTTATGTCTATTGTCTGAATTCTACCGTTAAGATATGACGAAACAAGTTCCAACGCCTTGCCATTTACTCCGTAATATTCTAGCTTCCTAACAAAAATAACATGGTCCACACAATAAAATGCTTTTGAGAGGTCACAGAAAAGCCCAATAGCGTTATGGGACCATGCCCTAAGCATCAAATATATGTTTTAGGAGCGCTATCCCTGCATCGCTAGTAGATCCACCTCTAGTAAACCCGTATTGTTCACTATGAACATGATTTCTACCGAAATAAGACAGTAATTGACTCAACATAACCTTTTCGAATATTTTTCTTAAAGCTGGTAGAATTGAAATAGGCCTATAGTTGCTAGGATCAGCTTTCTTACCGCTTTTGAATAAAGGAATAACCTTGCTGTATTTCATCAAATCGGGAAAAATACCTTCGTCAACGCACCTATTGAATGCATTAGCTAAATATGGGGAAATTAGATATATTACTGAGTCTATAACTTTAGTCGATATGCCCCAGAGATCTTCAGTTTTTTTAACATGTATAGATTTAAAAGCTTTGATGATGTCTTGTGGATTAACATGATGAAAATTAAATATACTGCCACAAACATTAACATTTTTCTTTAGGAGATCAATAGCAAGAGAAGGAGAGGAATTTCATGAATGAGGAATGATTCTGTAGTGTTTACGGCGATTTCCGAAAAGAACGATTCAAAAGCTTGGGCTACCTTATCTTTAGATTTTATAAGTTTGCCGTCTAATTCTAGAACTATGTCTCTAAGTAGTTTTAGTTTTATTTTTTGATGGTCTAATTTTATCGCTGTGCAATTTAACATTAGCTACACATAGGTACTTTTTTAAATATTTTTGAATAATTTTTAACATATTCTATAAAACTGGAATTAGTATTATAAGTTTTCATGGCGTATAGCTCATAGCTCATACAAACGAGACCTACTCTTATGAATGCCTCCTGTTGCCCAGTCATTGAATTTAGTCTCCCTATGGAAAGTTAGTGCATTCGGTTTAAATTCATTTTTAATACAACTAAATGTCGTGTTATATAAAGTATTTGGAACCTCTGGTGTGTGTGGCAGGGCATTTAAACTATTGTCCACATTATTTTGAAATCTAATTATTCGTTCTGTGTTTAATCGGTCTGCAGATAAATTGGTCTACCTTCTTGCTCATTTTACAATTAAAAGTAGCCAATTGCCCACTATGGTCTGGTCTTAAGCAATTTAGATACTGTGTCTGTGTTGCAAAAAATGTTATCAATATAAGTAGAAGAGGAGGCAGTGATGCGAGAATAAATTAATGAGTCTTACAGAAGTAGAACAGTTTTCCAACAGGTTTACATTGAAATCTCCACATACTAATATAGTCGTTTTGGTTGGTAAAATCTGTTTTAAACTATCTTCCATGGTTAATTCAAACTCGTTGAAATTAGCACAGGAGGGCCTGTATACACATAAGACGACAAACTGATCCAATTCCACTCATGAAATTTCAATAGTTCGTTCAATAGGGAGATTTTAACTTACGCTTAATAATAATCATTCATCCGCCTCTACTTATGTTCTTTCTTATGAACGAACTGACTATTACATAATTTTCTACGTTATTAATTGCTTCGTAGTCTTTCGACCAGTGTTCTGTTACACAAAACACGTCAACGGAAAAATCCTGTAAAAAAAGACATATTTCTAATGTTTTGCCAAAAAAGCCCTGAATGTTTTGATGTACTGCATAGAAATGAGTAGACTTTTCTGTTGTCGTCCTTACTAGATTAAATTATGGTTAGAAAATTTATAATATTGCAACTTAAAGTAGGAGCATTGTAGTGGGACTGTGTTATATCTTCTATAACAGCGTCCTTAATATTAAAAGCTAGTAAACTAGCAATATGTATTAGATACCATAGGGGTAAATGTAAATTAATCTCAAAAAGTTTAAAATTCTTTACAAACTTATTGATGTCAAAACAAAAAACCTCACTATGAATACTAACGTGTTACGTACTACTCTGGAAGAAAGACGCCCTCGTGATGACCTCATCGAGACTTATAAAATTCTGATGTGTCAGTACAATCTTCCAGACATACAAAACATCTTTAGAAGAAAAGTAAACTTCAAACCATCACATGGCCAACATCTCAAACTAGTTCGTGCACCTTCCAAACACCTGATGCACACAATTTTTTCAGCAATAGAGTGGTGCATCACTGGAACATGCTACCGGAAGATGTTGTTTCTGCTGGCTCTGTTAATGCCTTCAAAAATAAGCTCGACGCGAAGCTGAAAGAGTGATATAGTGCTGAAAAAATGAACTAAAACAAACAATATAAATTTCAATACCGTGTGATGTAGATACCAGCGAAAGCTGCTCGTCTATAGTCAAATAAATAGATAAATAAAATTTTAAACATATAAGGAGGTATCAATAGTGATTGATTAGTTTAATTGACAGATATAATTCTCAAAAAAAAAAAATGTGCTATAGTATGTTTTAGAAAAAGCTATATAATTATTACTAAAAAAAACCTAAACTAGAATTTCTCTAATCTCCAGTATCTAATGAACACCAAAAATTCACTAATTAGGTAAAAATAACCATTAATGGACACTCACCAATAAAGAACACCCAGTAACTGACACTTACCAATACTAAACGTGTTACCAGTACCACAGCATTACAATTTGTGTTTCTTAAGATAAAAAATTTTGTCATAACTCTTATTAGAAATTAATTTAGAAAAGATGTCGTATTGTTGTGCTTGTCGGTCACTGGTGCCACCACTCTAGATACAAACTAAAAAAAATAAACTTCACTTTCTAGTTTTTAATTGGATTAAATTATACAAGGATGACAATTTATTTTTTTATTTATAACCAACTTCAAAAAAAGGAGGAGGTTGTCAATTAGACTGTGCTTTTTCGGATGTAGGTATGTTGTGCGGAGTAATACTCGTGTAAGTAATTTGTGACCTTTCATTATATTGATGATTCTTTTTTTTTTGTTGGAAAAAGTGTACTTCAGTTGGTCCCATAAATTTGACGAAAATATTCCCATATTTAAGGGTAACAATTTCAACCACTTTCCGTTAACGGTTTTCAATAAAACTTGGCAAATAAATGTAATTCCACAAACGTTACGAGTTGTTTTTTTTTTATAAAAAAGGCATAATTATATTTTGACAAACATTCACGCGTCTTTCCTCGTATTATCTCAAATGCATAAAACTTGATTTAACTCGGGTATTTACCATACTACACGTCTATTTAACATTGCGTTTGCGCAAGGTAAAGGTCAAACCTGTTCGGACGTTCGGCTAGTGAACATGGGTGCTATTTGGTTTGTTTTCCTGTGTTTTGTTGGCGCTATCACGTGCTACAAATCTGGTGAGACTTAATTCTAATATCGTACAGCTTCAATTCAACGTAGATTTTTAATTTTTTGATTGATTGGATCCTTTTTGCTTAACTACGTCCAATATAAGTTTAGAGTGAGATCGACACAGTTAATAATTGTAAATAATAATGTATAAAAATAATACCTATAAAAATTAAAAAAGGTACTGTGGACAGCATGTTGCACTTTCATACAATTCTATTTAAATTTTATGTGTAATGAGAATGAGAGACGTGCCATTGCCAGAGCCTACTGTGGGTCACTTGAAATTAATTTTAACAAGAACTACTTATATCCATTTTCCTAATAGAGACTGATAAATAAAAATCTAACAACTTTTCTAAATAATTCTATACTATACTTATTGTTTGTATACTCAAGGCAAAACGTTTTTGTTCAATGTTTGTTAACAACAGTTTAAGGAAAATAAAAAAGAATATCCAACATAGGAGATCAACAATCACTTAATTACAATTGTTCACGGCAAAATAAATACTATGTAAACGGTATTAAATGTATTTTGTAAATAACATTAAAGTTAGTCACCAGCAACAATATGATAATACTTATTGTCGCCATTTACAATGATTGGTGCACCTGAGGGGTCTTTACCTTTATGAGACCCAGGAAATGCAATCACATCTCATAATATAGACTCGTTACCGCGTGATAAAGTAATTATAATCTAACTATACCTACCTATCTGACGTCCGCTAGCTATAAAACAGGCTAAGTGATAAAATATTTTTTTGAGATGTCCTAAAAAACCATAACTCAGTTTTAGAATATTTAAATTGTTTAATGTTGTTTCTTAATAGCGAAGGACGTAACATTCAGAAGCCTAAGGAAGCCCAATAAAGTCGTACTAAATACAATACCCAAAACAAAACGTTTTTCTAAATAACTCGTATGTAATGTGTGGAAAAATTTTTAATCGTATACCAGATCGCATTAAGCCTCTACCATTGACTAATTTTAAAAAGGAATTGCGCATGCGGCTCTTTGATCATTTGTTTTACTCTGTTGACGAATTCATGAATCATAAAGAATAATTAATTGATGCATACATTTTTCCCATCATTAAAAAAAAATATATTATTATTATTAAATTATGACATACACGATTCTGACATATCAAATTAAATCAATTATCGTAAATTTATCAATTCGTTGCCTAATTATTGTTTTAAAATCGAATCTCAATCCACCAATGTATTATTTTATTATTGTATTTGCATGCTTTTATTTTAGAAGGCCGAATAGGTTTAAGTTCTGATTTAATTTTTACCATCAACATGTGTAATGTACCCTACCCTATTTGAAGCGAATAAATGAATTATTATTATTATTTTTAATGATATTTCATTAAAAATAATACATTATTATTTATTATTAATGATATTTCAGCTGTGCATTGTTAGAGTAAGTTCCGATAAGTCGAACACGTGAACTAATTTTAACTGTTTTTAAAAGAGATTTTATAATCTATCTTTTCCTATTTACAACGGTTATTTAACCATTTATCACTTAGCCTCGTTTTAGTTAGTGGACTGTTGTGATGAATTGTATTAAAAATCGTATTATGAACCTCAGCCTTCAACTCGTTTACACTCGCATAGGATTTAAGGTAAATGCGAGATCACCAGATCTCACCCCTTTAGAAGAGGTCCAGAATACGATTTGTAATACAATTCATCACAACACGTTATTAAAAGTTACTCAACATTAATTTGTTAAAAGCTTAGAATAATAACGCATAGAATGATAGTTTCATATCAAACGAACTGTGTCGCAAGTGAGGCAACAATCAAATTCATGTAGGCTAGATTTAGGAGTAGGTTAATTTTCGTTTTTAGTGAATATTTATATAAAAATACAAGTTGAAACGCGTTACTTCGATGTGGAATGTGATGTTAGTATCTATTTTATGTTTGTCTGACGTATTTTTACACTTATTTACCGCACATTTCGTCATTTTTAGCTAAAATTCTTGATCTGTTCGCGGTGCAAGTTGACCTTGAGCACTGAAGGCCCGCCCGCTCGTGTAGGCCCATTGGGCGCGCTTCAATTTGCCTCACTTAGCGTATGCGGACTAGGTTTCTATGCGTTATAATTCTAAGGTTAAAAGATTAAATTTGTGTATCCAAGAAAATGGAGCTCATTTCGAGCAACTAATTAGTTAGATTACCATTTTTTTCGTTTTATTAAAATACGTTAAAATTTAATAGGTTTTTTTTCTCATTTAATTAACCAATTTTGTGAGAGAGATTTTATTCTTATAATTAACCCTATCGATCGATGCAATAAAAGTGCAGGGTGCATTTTTTTCAGATTAAAGCGGGTTCGATTCCCGCGTGTTGCTAGAAATTTTCGAAAATCTATGAATACAGTATTATTTCTTTTTTTCAAAGTCAAAGTCAAAGTCAAAGATTATTTATTCCATAGGTAAAATAAATTTACACTTGAAATCGTCACATTTAAGCTACTGCTCGTTTACTACGCTGACCTCCCTGAGAAGAACGAGCAAGAAACTCTAGGGATTGCTCTTTTCAAATAAATTTAAATGCTATGGAATACACTTTGAATCAAATTTCAATCAATTTAAAAAATAAAGGAATGTTTCCTTTAAATAAAAATTTATATCTTCAGTATTTAGAGTACTTTCCCTCCAGGTGGCATTACAAATTTCCACCCTGTATATATTGCTTTCAAACATCAGAGATCGAGACTACCTCCATGAACTAAACGGGTTTCTACCACGGATTTTTGTCATACAAGTACGCAGAAGTTGTATAATAACCTTTAGTACAAAGTTTTTGTTTCACTATAGTTTTAAGCCTCGTGAATGGCAAATTTTGTATATCAACCGGAATCTTGTTATAGAAGCGTATACACTGCTCGATAAATGAATTTGTGAAGACGACTATCAAGAGCAGCTAGCTTATTTTTATTTTTCATAAAGAAATCTCTTAACATATGTTACATTTTCATAATGATCAGAATGAAAATCCTTACTTCATAAATATTTCTAAAAAACAAACCCACTACTTTATTTCGCAATACAGGTTTTTCGTGAACAAGTTTAGCAATTCCAATGTAATAAATAAGATACTGAAAAATCTTATTAAGTTCATTCAATCCATCCAATCAGAACAAGCTCTTCAATGCCGAGAGGACGAAGTGGCGAAATGTGTGCACGACTGCCCTCCAGAAAGAACTTGCCGTAATCGACTCATACAATTCCAATGTGCAAATCCTGAAGGCCCATGCAAGACCAAATGCGTTTGCAAACCGGGGCTGTACAGGAACTCTAATGGGGAGTGTATTACGGAACAAAGATGTGGTAAGTATGTGAATGTATTAGGTACTCTAATGCTCTGGCCACATAGAGGCGGCCGCGGAAGCGTTCCGGGCGTGGGAATTTAGTTGTATAGTGCACGAGTTTATATGAACTCTGCCACACTGAAACGCACATACAATACGAAAATTCCCGCGCCCGGAACGCTTCCGCGGCCGCCTCTGCGTGGCCTGATCATTAATTTTGCATGTGTTTCAATACGAACTATAAAAATAGCAATACATTGAAGACATCATCGACAGCAAACGATGACATCCATCTAATAACATCAGAATCTACATAACTACTAAGATACGCCATTAATTTACAGAAGTACCTACTAACTACCAACTTCCCAACTACATTGCCTTCTGTATGTATTATATTTATATGTTCTGTGTCTTTTTTAACCGACTTCAAAAAAGGAGGAGGCTCTCAATTGGACTGTATTTTAAGAAAATTAAATTTGAAGAAAGTATCCACCTCTAAGGGTGGCAAACTAGGGGATAAATAACTTTTGAAGTCGGTTTTTTTAGTACTCTGTACTGTTTTTGGTCTCTATATTTATTTATAATACGAAGCGAATGGGAGGAACAAGTCGTGCGCCTGGTGGTAAGCGACACGCCTGTCCATAACAGTTGCAGTGCCGCTCAGAGCTTTTAATCGCAAAGATCTTAGGGGAACTGTCACTGTGTCCGTCATCCTGAGAAATAAATTGACAAGTCCCATGTGCCTTTAACTTCACCAGAAGCCTTACCCTTCGAAACCTGAACGCAGTAACGCTCACATTATTGCTTCGCGACAGATACTTCTGTCCAGGGAAGTACTGCCACCTTAACTACTGTTAAGGTGGCAGTACTTCCCTGGACGAACTCTTTCACAAGGAGCTCCTTGTAGAGCTCTACTGCTACCAAAAACATCTGGGCATGAGTAGTTGTTCTCAAACTTCTCGTTTTCTCTAACATTATTCAGAATACACAAGCAATTATCTTAAATTATTCACCAGAACAATGCGACAAACCAAACGAGTACTACGCATGCGGTGGTGCGTGTGACAATGTATGTTCCACACTGCAATACCAGAACCAGACCAACTGTCCTATCAAGAACATCAAGTGCAACGAGTGGTGCTACTGTGACCCAGGATATGCGAGAGACGAAGATAGCAACTGTATTCCCATCTCTGAATGCCGTAAGTACCAAATGCATACCCTAATATTCTAACGTATTAAAATGATCGAAATCGTCTAAAGGTTTTGAAAAATTCAGGCATAAAACTGGGTAAACCAGAGACCTGAAAGATTTTTGAGTAAACGCTGTTTGATCTGGCTATTGGAAACCTATAAAATGTGTGCCCCTCAACCCTCAATCTCATGGGTAAATAGTTACAGTTTGTAAAATAATTAGTTCTTTCTATTAAGTAGGTTTTCGGTGCACTGGGGGGTGATTCACGTAATCAAACCGTTACGATATCGTAGGGATTTAGTCGTTGAACTGCTTTTTCGTATTCACGTGTGACAGTGAACGTCAACGAGTCCAATTTTAAAGTCGTTCGATCCAAATGTCGTTAAAGCGTATTCTGGTATATGAATCGAACTTAAATCGACTGACTTGACTTCGACTGACGTGACTTGACAGCTTGGACTTACGTGAATCGCACTAAACTCTAAGACCAGTAGTGCGATTCACGTAAGTTCAAGCTATCAAAACATCGTTGAAGTTACGTAGTCGTTCGATCAAAGTCCTATCCAAAATGGCTATTCACGTATCACTTGAACGAATGTTGATATGAGTAGAATCGAAACGTAACGACTAACGAACGACATCTTGGATTGTGAAATTTGACATTTAGTCGTCGAACGTGTATTGAAAGAACTGTCAAGAGAGAGCAGAATACGTATGACTTGTCGTTTAGAGTCGACTTAAGTTCGATTCATATACCATAATACGCTTTAACGACATTTGGATCGAACGACTTGAAAATTGGACTCGTTGACGTTCACTGTCACACGTGAATACGAAAAAGTAGTTAATAATAATAATAATAACGCACACACTCAACATAGCCCCGCACTAGGGAAACCCTGTGTCGCGGGTGCCATGGACACATACATAGACAAACACAAATTACACCCAAACTCACGAGAGAAATAAATGTAGGCCATACAAATATTTCTCCCGGCCCGGGAATCGAACCTAGGACCTCTGCGTGGCAGTCCGGCATGGTAACCGTTCGGCCACGGAGGCAGTTTAAACGACTAATCGCTACAATATCGTAACGGTTTGATTACGTAAATCTCCCCCGGTGTCACTGCCAAATAAGGATTTATGGAAAAATTAAAAAAAATAAGATTTTTTTTAAAACGGAAAGTTCCACCCAACACCATTACAGACTTATATCATATCTATCTTTACATATCTTTTCAGCTCCACAATGCACAGAGCCCAATGAGGAATTCGCACCATGCAAGCGAACTTGCCCTCCAGAAACATGTCTGGCCCTCGTAGCTCTGTTCAATTGCGTCACCGACGAGTCTTGCGAACCCCGGTGCGTTTGCAAGCCAGGGTATCTCCGATTGAAGCCAGGATCTCCATGCATGCCATCGAAGCAGTGCTCTGAGGCTGCCAATGCGCACGACGACGATTGAAATAAACTAGTATGTGTTTCATTGCTTATTTACTATAACCACTGACCACATATAATAACTAACTACATACATACTACAAACGTGTATAAAAAAACTTTTTCACCTCACTAATATAACATCATTGTCACTAGGTCGGAAAGTCTTTCTTTCTCATTACAATTCTGCGCGCCAAAGCGTTTTTTGCACGCTAGCGTGGAAAAGGTTTTTGAAATTCGAACTTGACGATGGAATGAACTGTGGTCATTATCATTTTTTTTTTCATCGAAAGAAAAACATAGGTACTTTCTTTCAATGAAGAAAAAAAGATAATGACACGTTCAACTACGCGATTTGTCATACATTACATCACATTACATCTAAGGAGATAATTTAATTCCGTTGGTATATTTAATTCTTATTATTGTTGATATTAAATTGACAATGATAACTAATTGTTATGTAATTAAATTATTTTAATTCGTCGAAGAACTAAAATAATTTCAATAATCACTTAATCACACAAAATGAAAGTACAAGCAAGAATAAAAATTGATGCGGTGTAAATTTAGAATGCATCCAAAGATAAACTTTTTATGATTCGCTCTGGACCTTTTGGAGGGAAAAGTGTCGTTTTTGTTTTGACTTTCAATTATTTTGTGAAATCCAGTTTAAAGTGGAATAGAATAGCGCTATTGTGCCTTAATCGAAGATTAAAACGCGAAATTATACGAATCTCGAACTAGAATACCCGTATCGGCCTGTTTTAAGGAATCCCGAGTCAATCAAAGCACGCCGCCTCAAATTGCCTATCCTCTTTGTGGCGGCCATATTTACAGAAACATAATTAAACTTCATGTTTAGGCTGATGACTTTGCCAAAGCCTTAATAAATAAAAAAAAAATAAAAAAATAAACTTTCTATTTTAATAAAAAAAAATGATGTTTACAATTCAACTGTTTTTCTTTCGTCTACCATACCGTTTTCCTCGGTATAGTGAGGTGAAAAGTTGCGTGGTTAGCTCGGCAGCAAAATTGTTTTGCGTCTCGTGTCTTGAAACCCTCGCTACGCTCAGGAATCTATTTTTGAACCGCTCCCTTCGCTCGTGGTTCACTCTAAGCTTCCTTCCCGTGACCAGGTTTCAATACAATAAGCACTTGCGTTAAACAACAACTTTGCAGCCTTGCATAACAATGGTAGATTGTACAACAAGTGCATAAAACGCGTCATTTTATGAACGAGTTATACACTCTGCTTTTCACTTCGATTGCGAGGAAATTAAACAGCAATATTACAAATAAACGGTAACACAACTATTGCCAAGAAACAATAAGAACTTTCCGCCAATGTACTACTTTTTTTTTCTACACGTGACTCAGGTCGGACTACATAATGCTCAATTATATTTTACAAGCTTTTATTTTTTATGCATTTCTATGTGTTATAACTTATCAGAATTCCTATTGCCTACTTTTTTAATTTTGTAATAAATAAATAAAACACGGATTAAAAAAAACAATAGTAAAACTTTATAAAGTTCTAGTGTGCGTGGCTGTTGGCGCAGGCGTCACTCACTGCCTCGGTCTTAAACGGCGATTTTATTTTATGCACTAGAGCACAAAATCCTATTTTATGCAGTCTACACCCAGCATAAATACGAACTTTAAGAGCATGAGAAGTGAAAAACTATTTTTTATGATACCATGCGACGCGACTGGACTGTACGAACAGGTTTGCGATAGGCCTGTCTACCCCACTATAATTATATTTCTAATTTGTTGTCTACCCATATCAGTTGCATAATCGCAAAGTTCTGAGGGGCAATGCCACTGCGCCCGTCACCCTGAGACATAAGTTAACAAGTTCAATGTGCCTGCAATTTCATCAGCACCCTTCAAAACTGGAACGCAGTAATGCAGAAATAAAACGTAGCCGTCCCGTGGCTTGGCACAGGTCGCCTCTAAGGAGAGAATTTAAACCATAGTCCTCCATGCTGATCCAATGTGGGCTGGGACATGTTTTCCAATAGTTGCGAATTTTGTTCGACGTAGGTACAGATTTCAATACGATATTTTCCTTCAACTTTTTTAATTTCAGAACTTTGTTCCAGAGAACATACCAGAACTATTGTAATAATATAATTTACAGTAAAAATGACAATTTTTTATTATAAAATGCTCAGTACAGAGTACCTACTGTGAAAAAAACTAACCTCAAAAGTTCGCGAATTTATGTCTATTTGTCAAGTTTTATTGAAATTTTCTTCAAATTTCCAATAAAAAAAAAATCATCAAAATCGGTTCACAAAGTTATTCCGTAACATACATACAAAAAAAATATAGTGGAATTGAGAACCTGCTCCTTTTTTCAAGTCGGTTAAAAAGTAAGTGTCCACACACCACGTCACACAAACTTTTACTACTACTTATTGTTATTACTTACTAAGGGTTCACACAAAATCCCATGAAAGAAATTAATGCGATCAATTTTAAAGTAATCATCAATACTTTTAACTTTCACAAATATACACGTAACTTAGAAATCAAGAAACCAAAGTTTTAACTGCCTCCGTAGCCGAACGGTTACCATGACTGCCACGCAGAGGTCCCAGGTTCGATTCCCGGGCCGGGAGATATTTGTATGGCCTACATTTATTTCTCTCGTGAGGTGTAATTTGTGGTTGTCTATGTTTGTCCATGGCACCCGCGACACAGGGTTTCCCTAGTGCGGGGCTATGTCGAGTGTGTGCGTTATTATTATTATTATTATTAAAGTCCTAGGTACATGCCGCCACACGGATTCGAATCGTCAACCCTAAGAACCATTACCAATCGCCGGTCGTCCCACTGTTCTTACTTACTGAATCATTATTGTACTTATACAAATAAAAAAAGCTGCTTGTTGGTTGCACTCAACTGATAATAAATATTATCAATTAATAGTACCTAAATTAACGAAGCCTTGAAATTTTAAGCTATACTTAAACTTACACTAAGATTCTACAAATCTTGAAGTAATTTTCTGTTTCCTACAAAACGGGTTTTCATTAATATAAAAATTGTTATGCAATATTTGTAAGATTGAATATGAAGGCGTTTCAATATTAATTTGACAATAACTGAAATGTTATTGTCAATATAATGAATGAACGTACATTTCGCCTATTTTTTGATATGTATATGTACATAGCGTTTGTAGTACATTGGCTAAATTCAGAAAAGTAGCTAAAATTGCATTTCCAATTATTAATATGTGGCGTGGCTACAAAGAATTCTCCTCAATGCCACCGTAATTGTTTTTTTTTCTTTTAAATTAACAGTAGCAAGAAACAACATGTACACCATGCACATGTTAGCCGTACATTACAGTGGGTAATATCATAATAAATAAAAAATAAGGTGACGTGGCTATATAGCATGACATCAAATGGCGGGCTTAACACTGTTAGGCATTTTCTAACATTCAACCTAAGAGCTGGATTTAGAATATTTTCCTAATTGACTGGAACTTTAGAAAATAAGTCGCGTTTTGTCTTGTATAACATACTTTTTGTTTATAAACTCAAGGCATATTTTTTTCAATGCTATCACGCAATACTTTATGCAAAATAATAATAAATTCATTATAATCAAATCACCCATGACAAAATGAGAACCATGTAAAAGGTATAAAATTTATTTTCATGAATAAAATTGAACTTAGTCAACAGTAGCAATATGGTAATACTTTTTATCATCATCATTTACAATATTTGGTGCACCAGAAAGGGGGTCTTTACCTTCATGGGACTTAGGAAATGCTATCACATCTCTTATAGACTCAGCATCACATGCTAAACTTACTAATCTATCTATACCTAAAGCTATTCCTGCATGCGGTGGGCAACCACTACATAGAGCATTCAAAAAGTGTGATAATTTTTCACCATCAATATTTAAAATACGTAACAATTTTTCTTGCAATGTCACACTATGAACTCTAACTGAACCTCCACCAATTTCATTTCCATTCATAACAATGTCGTAAGCCAAAGACCGCACTTTAAGTGGGTCAGTCTCCAACACTTTCAAGTCATCAGGATGTGGCGCTGTGAATGGATGGTGACACGTCTCAAGACCATTTTCTCCTTTGATAAACAAGGGGAAGTCAACAACCCACAGTGGTTCTACATTTTCCTTGACGCTTAGTAAATTTTTAGATATCAAAAGTGAGGCTAAGTATTCTCGTACTTCCCCTAAACACAAGCTTACATCTTCGTTATTTCCTAGGCAAATAATGCATGAGTTGTCTGCTCCGGTGATACTTTGAATTTGATCGACAAAATCTGATCCAAGTATTTTCGAGATACTTTCATTGCTTACTATTTTTGTTTTATACTTTTTTGCTAATTCTCTAAATTTGTCTTTGTTTTTAGATGTGACTTTTCCAAATTTTGAAGGATATGGCAGTAGATAAGCTTTGAAATTTTCATCATTTAACTGTTCAGGAAATAGGTGTTTGATATTCTTTAGTCGTAAATCATAAGTTAGATTGGGTTTGTCAGTACCATAGTTTTCTAAAGCATCTTTGTAAGTCATTCTTCTAAACGGAGGCCTTGGTAAAACTTTGTTGAAAGTGTCATACAGAAGGCGTTCTATCAATGTTAACACTCCATCAAGATTTGTAAATGACAGTTCAATATCTAACTGTGTAAATTCAGGCTGCCTGTCTGGCCGAGTGGTCTCATCTCGGTAGCAACGAGCTACTTGGAAATATCTGTCAACTGCTCCGGCCATTAACATTTGTTTGAATTGTTGTGGACTTTGCACTAAAGAATAGAACAAGCCCGAGTGACGGGTTGGTACTATAAACTCTCTAGCTCCTCCTGGAGTCCTGCAGAACAGAGTTGGAGTCTCAATTTCGACAAAACAATGCTCCTCAACTAAAAACTTTCTCATATTGTGCAGCATATTTGACCGAAGTCTCAAATTCTTTTGCATTTCAGGAAATCTTAAGTCAATGTAACGGTGCTGTAATCGTAATTGCTCCTTAGGTTTCTGATAGTCTCTAAGATTAAATGGCAACTTATCTACGTTATTTAACACTTCTAAGTGATCTATAATAACTTCTACCTCACCAGTGGCCATTTTTGTATTCTCCATGTTCTTAGGCCTTAATGCCACTGTGCCTTCAACTTTTACCACTGTCTCTAAAGGGATATCTGGTAGACACACATCTGTGCTACTTATTATACATTGTGTAAGTCCGTAAGCATCTCGGAGAAGTAAAAACTTCGACATACGGACATATTGGATCCATCCACAAAGAGTAACTTTTTGTCCTTTATTTATCGTTCTTAGCTCGCCACATGTGTGTGTTCTGTACGTAAATGAATTGCACGTTTGTTTTTGAGTAGTTTCTTCGATTGGCTGTTGCTTTGTATGCTGTAGTTTTGTAAAAATACAACCTTGATTCAAATTATAGGTTATGTTTTGATGTTTTGATAAACAATGAGAACTCGCACATTGCGCGATTCGATGTCGTATTTTTAAACAATGTTTACCATCTGCTACAGCTGTTTTCATTAAATCAAGCCAAATAGCCCGTATACGCGTACTTCTCCACATTTCCACCAACTTTTCCTAAATGTGTCAGTTCTGCAAGAAACACCGTACGTTCTGTAATATTGTTGAATTAATTAAGTACTATGTCACCGCATTCATGTATCCGCTTATATTTTGCATAAAAAATGTAATTTTTTAGCGAAAAACCTTGCACTACAAATTCGGCGTATCAACACCGACCCAACGCTCCCTCCCACAACAAACAATTTGTCATCACAGAACACTATACTCACAATTGTCATAGTCTAAGCAATTGTCAGTGTCATGTCGTCAATGTCATACTGACAATTAGGAAAATTATTTTTTTTATATATTAAGGCTTTGGCAAAGTCATGCCCTAAACATGAACTTTAATTATGTTTCTGTAAATATGGCCGCCACAAAGAGGATAGGTAATTTGAGGTGCCGTGCTTGGATTGACTCGGGATTCCTTAAAACGGGCCGATACGGGTATTTTAGTTCGAGATTCGTATAATTTCGTGTTTTAATCTTCGATTAAGGCACAATAGCACTATACTATTCCACTTTAAACTAGATTTCACAAAATAATTGAAAGTCAAAATAAAAACGACACTTTTCCTTCCAAAACGTCCAGAGCGAATCCAATTACTGCCTCTGTGTGGCCGAACGGTTACTGCCGGACTGGCACGCAGAGGTCCCAGGTTCGATTCCCGGGCCGGGAGAAATATTTGTATGACCTACATTTGTTTCTCTCGTGAGTTTGGGTGTAAATTGTGGTAAATTGTGCTTGTCTATATGTGTGTCCATGGCACCCGCGACACAGGGTTTTCCTAGTGCGGGGCTATGTTGAGTGTGTATGTTATTATTTAAAAAAATATTAGGAAATGCTAAGATAAGAAAAAAATAAAACCACCTCACCACTTATAGGATGGAAAAAATAGTAAATTATATGTACAACAAGTGTTTATAACACGTCACTTCATCCGAGACGAGTATATCCACCTGAGCCGCAGGCGAGGGCGAGAGTGGATACTTAAGTCGAGGGTAAAATGGGTTTTATGAACGAGTTACACACTTTGCTTTTCAGTACGATTGCGAGGAAATTAAATAGCAATGTTACAAATAAACGATTATTTTTGAATGAAAATTACAACTAAAACGGATTAAAAAAAAAAGTAAAACTTTATTTTATAAAATTCTAGTGTGCATGGTTGTTGGCGCAGGCGTCATTGCCTCGGTCTTAATCGACGATTTTATTTAATGCTTACTAGAGCAAAGTCCTATTTTATTCAGCCTACACCCAGCATAAATATGAACTTTAAGAGCATGAGAAGTGAAAAAATAATAAAAGAAACTCTTAATCTTAGTCTACGCTCAACCACAATGAGTTAAGAGGTCTAAATTTCCTTTATTTTTTCCATCCTTTATGGATATTATAGATTATTGCACCCTATTTATACATAAAAAAATAACATTTTGAGTCGATAATTTTTTTTATGATTTCAAGTGACGAACAAGTCGTGCGCTTGTGTGCACGTGTCATCGAGTATATAACCAGATGGCACGGGTACTGCCACAGCCACGATGCGCGCGATACATAAGTTGAAAAGTCCTATGTGCTTGTAATTTCATCAGCACCCTTCAAAAACGCAGTAACGTTCATAGACTCTTTCCCAAGGAGCTTTACTGTTTCTTTTTCATTATCTAGGGATGGTTCCAACGCCTGCCCTTTATATTATAGCAACTAACTACTACTAAAGCACTAAAAACTGTTTTAATTTAATCAGGCACTTCGTAAAAGTTTCAATCGGTTATATTTTTTAACTAATGTAGATAGCAAGTGTATATATTACCTTTCATTCATGAAAGTAGCAAACAGGTAGCAATTATTGGTAATACATACTTCTGGAAAATCTGCACCCTTCATGCTGAACAAAGTGGCGACTGGCCACCATGATATCAGAATGGCTGGTCAATTATTTTCTTAAATTTCTCAGAATACATCAACGGTAGCAATTATTTAGAAAAGGTAGGAAATAGTAGCAAATAGGTAGCAATTGTTGAATATACACTCAGTGCCAGACGCCACAGGCGACCAGCCATCCTGACAGTCGTATCTTGGAAGTTAAGGCCCATTGTCTGCCTTGCATAAGGCATAATATACATGATTATGCAATATTCAATGCGACAATCACGTATACGCGTCTAAACATTTTTTATCTTTTTTCATAAATATGACTTGACATGTTCTAGAAAAATATTCCCAAAATCACAATAACAATTTTATATTATTCACCAGAGGAATGTGACAAACCAAACGAATATTACACATGCGCTGGTGCGTGTGACAACTGTCCTATCAAGAACATAAAGTGTAACGAGTGCTACTGTGATTATGTCTATGCGAGGGGCGGAGAAGGCAACTGTATTCCTATCTCTTAATGCCGTTAGTACAAAATGCAGTTTCCATAAATGCACAATCGACAACTTCTATTCAAGCAAAACAATCCTAACAGAGTATTGCTGAATCCTAATCAGTCAAGTAGCTCTTGACTAGCTTTGGAGAACATCTAGGAAAAATCTTTAGAGAATGACATAGACACTTATTTTTGAAGTTTAAGTAACTAAAATCCGCTTACTTTTACGCGGATAAGTGATAAAATATTTCTTTTTAAATATCATAAAAAACCATAACCCAGTTTTACAACATTGAAATTGTTTAATGAATGATATTTTAGCTATGCATAGTTACGGTAAGTTCCGATAAGCCGAACAAGTCAACTAATTTTGATTGTTTTTATGAGTATTTTGTGCTACTTATATACAAGTATAGATACAGCTACAAGGAGTGACAGAGTGGTTAAAACTACCAAATTTTATTTAATTCATTACTTTTTTCGAATTCCGGAAAAGTAATTATTTACAAAAGGTAGCAATTCTTGAATATACACTCAGTGCCAGATGCGACAGGCGACCAGCCATCCTGACGGTCACGATGTCCACTGGTGGCGCCACCGCCATCCGCACATGAAGTCCTCGGATCCATAGTTTTAATTACATATAATTTAATGAATTAAGTAGAAATCATTGTAAATAAAATAATAAACGATTATTAATTTCTCGCAATCCTAGAATTACTAATTAGAAATGTATTATGTAAAATAATTATACCACACCACTTAGTTCCACTTTCAAGATACTACTAAAATTAATACTTCCTCTTTATATTCTTGTTTAGAACTGATAGCTTGATGCGGTGTTCGATTTATTATTAATTCCAAATAGATTTTCATTACGTAGTAAATATAAACGATTGAAAAGTTTACGAAGAAGTACCAACGCTTACCCTTTGTATTATGGTAATAAAGCACTAAACTGTTACCGTTGCTTTTTTAATTTAGTCAGGCGCTTCGTAAAATATTCAATCGGTTATATTTTTTTTAACTAATGTAGATAAGAAGCGTATTCCTTCCATTCGCGAAGGTAGCAAATAGGTAGCAGTTATTGGTAGTACATACTTCTGGAAAATCTGCTACCTTCACGCTGAACAAAGTGTCGACCAGCCATCCTAACGTCAGAATAGCAGCTGGTCAATGATTTTTTTTTATTTCTCAGAATATTGGTAGCAATTATTTAGTAAAGGTAGCAAATAAGTAGCAATTCTTGAATACACTCAGTGCCAGACGCGACAGGCGACCAGCCATCCTGACTGTCACCTTGTACTGCTTTCGTTACACTAGTCAAATTTCAACAAAAACTCGGCCATGGTCACGCTGGGATAAGGCACACAACAGTGGCCCACCAGCGATCCTGATATCAAAATGGCTGGTCAATTATTTTTTTTAATTTCTCAGAATATATCAAAGGTAGCAAATAGAAAACAGGTTGCAATTCTTGAATATCTCTCAGTGCCAGAAGCCATAGGCAACCTCCCATCCTACCTATATGGTTACGTTGCATCGTTACTTCGATACGGACTTGTGATTTGGGGAAATTCAACAGAAGTAAATTGTTTACAGCACAAAAAAAATGTGTACGGGCAATGTGTGGTTTAGGACCCCATAAATCTTGTAGACCGTTATTTAAGTATCTTAACATTTTACCGCTGCCTTGTATGTACATCTTTGAAGTATCCAATTTTGTAAAAAAATAATAAACTTTTTTAAAAAACGCGAGACATTCACAATATAAATGTAAGGGGTCCAGACAGATTAGTTTGCAATAGTTATACTAAACTAAGTTACTACCAGAAACAGTGCGGGGCCATGTGTGTGAGGATATATAATCTTTACCCTCTGATATAAAAATGATAAATAATAATCTTCGATTTAAACGTCAGCTGATGTCATGGCTAAGAGAAAAAAAATCTATTTATTTAAGACTTCTTTACATATAATTCTCAATAAATTTGACCACTTAACTTATTTGATAAGAAATGTATTTATATTTTTTGACATCTTCATGACATGGCAATAACTTACTATTATAATCATTGACTTACAAATATTATCTTTATGAATGATAGGACTTGCTTTTGAATTGTTTAGCTGCCAATATGTTGACATTCATAGATTTGCATGCCGATAGCGGTAAAATATGAGTACTGTTTTATTATGTACACTTATACCACCTATTGTGAACCATATTTTAAGCAAATAATTTTCATTCATTCATTCATTCATATAGGTCACAAAGAAATGAACATAAAAAAAAATAAAAAAATGCGAAATAGGAACATTTATTTAAGTTAACCAATATGTTATACAAGCGGCAACGCATTGTCTCTGTTTATACTGCTGTATAAACACAAGTAAGCATTGCAAACACATTACAAAATGTAATTGTGATTTAAAAACAAAAATTTTGACCTTAACTATAATAGCTCAATAAGTCTACAAAGAAATAACACTAAATCTTTGCTACACTGATAAAAAACCATTAACTTATTACAAGCGAACAGAGATTTAAAAAATAACAAATTTAGAGCTTTTACTTATTACAAGTCTATTTAAAAAAAACCGAATTCTTCACAGTCTTCAATTAGTGACGTGAAGTATGCAATGACATTTTAATAACAGCCATAGTAGGGCCATTTTTGAACCTTAATTATTACAAGTAAACTATACTTGCCATTACTAAAACAAATGATAAGAGTCCTCAACTAGAACAGTAGGTACTCATTTACTGCGAGGTTTGCAATTAAATAACAATTGGCAAAAAAGAGCAACTTTTGCTAAAAGAATATTTGCTACACTGCTATGTAACCATTAGGCTCAACTTACAGTGGCGGCGCAACTCAATGGAAGCGAATTTTTGTAACGATGTACATAGCACTATGAACTTTATTTTCAATTGCATAATGTACAAATTATATATGGGCCAAAAATCAAGTCGCTAGTCTTCCGGCGCATGCTCGCGAGAATTCCACAGCGGCCGTCGGCGACGCCTGTCGGTACTGCGAAAAGCGAAGTAAAGGGGGCTACTCTCGATCTCCGTCCGAAACAATTACTGTCACATAAGTAATATTCGACAAAATTAAAAGACAAGTATGAAGCTTCATTCGCATGACGCGTCTTTTCATTTGGTCAAGTATTGCTTATTTGGCAGTAATTGTTTCGGACAGATGTCGGACGGAGGTCGAGAGTAGACCCCCAGATGCAGTGTGCGAAATAGATTGTGTACGCTGTTGTTGCGACGAAATAGATTATGGGTTCAGATTAAAAGTTAATCTATTTGGTACAAAAATATGATTGTATAATGTAAGTTAAAAACTACTAAGACAAAAATTTCTAAGAATAATGCGTGGAGAAAAGTTGGTGGGAGGAAATGAATTTAGCTGGTAAGTTAAAAAAATACAGCTCCACATTGTTTTTGTTCTATTGGTTTGTAATAAGCAAAGGTCGGAAACTGGCGTTACATATACACGTGTAGAAATATAGCTACAAGCAGTGACATAGGTTGTTAAAACTACGTCATATTCGTTGTTCTCAGCCTAATTACCGAAGCCATTGTTTTTTCTCGCTATACCCAATAACATTGAAATATGAATAACTAACTAAGCTAAACTTATATATATTTAGATGGCATTAGTAAAGATAAAGTAGTTTTCGAGTTAATAAGAAAAATCTGTTTCCATAAATGGAAACGGGAATTAGATTTCATTTCAAATATTTTTAAGATTACCGTATCCATGGCTACGGTAATTAGATCTAAATACTGTTCCCATAAAATATTTGCTTAATAACCACTTTGTCTATTTTAATGCGCCTCAAGGCGCTGTCGCGAGAAATCTCGGGAATCGCGGGGAATCACGAGCATTCCCGCGCATGTTCGAGCATTGCCGCGAATGCTCGAGCATTTCAGCGACAGGGCGCGTCTTCTCGCGAAGCGAGGCGAAGTTGACGCTTCTGTTCTGGCGCAAATTGAAGCCTTAAGAGCACACACACAGCGACTTATACATTGCGGCGGAATGGAAGCGTCAACTCGCCTTGTTGCGAGTGTGCGATAGAAGGCGCGCGCGGTCGCTGGAATGCTCGACCATTCAATTCAGAGCTTTCTCGCTACTGCGCCTTGAGGCGCATTAGAATAGACAAAGTGGTTTTCCAATTATTTAGCAAATATTTTATGAAACAGTAATTGGAATTACTTCCCGTTTTCATTTGTGGAAACATATTTTAAGATGTCTTAATAACTCGAAAACTACTTATCTATTCCAATGCCATTTAAACTTAAAGTTATTCATATTTCAATGTTATTGGGTACAGCGAGAAAAATCAATGGTTTCGGTAATTAGGCTTAGAACACCGAATGTGACAATGGCCGATATTTGGTGGTTTTAACAACCTATGTCACTCCTTGTAACCTTTTTCCGTCCTACGCTTATTACAAACCAATAGAACAAAAACAATGTGGAGCTACATTTTTTTAAATTGCCAGTTAAATTAATTTCCTCAGCAACATTTCTCCATGCATTATTGTTAGAATTTTTGTCAGTGTAGTATTTAGCTTTTACATTCTACAATCATATTTTTGTACCAAATAGATTAACTTTTTATCTGAATTCATAATCGATTTCGTCGCAACACCAGCGTACATAATCTATTTCGTCGACGTTTGATGTCACATTGCGCCTGCCCTCGCGCCGTTTCCAAGCGTCGCCGACAGCAGCTGGGTAATTATCCGGCATGCACCGGAAGACGCGAGACTTGTTTTTTGGCTCGTATCTAATTTGCACGTTATGCAATTGAAAATAGAATACTTTACGCTATGTACAACATCGTTACAAAAATTCTCTTCCATTCCGTTCCGCCGCATATACATTGAGCCTTAATAAAACTGTAATTGTGGTTAAAAATACGAGCCCTCAACTAGAAGAGTATTCAATTACTACAAGTACTGAAAACCCGTCAGAAAAAAGGTCCCTTTTGTACACCGCAATAAATTCTTTGCTACACCGCACCGTTATAAAACCATTCACTTATGTAAACTAAATTCTTCTGATCTATTTATAGAATCAACTAACGTCAAGAGACAATAATGAAAACCTATAATTGTGCGTCTTTTTTACGAGTCAAACAATTTGTAATAGTAGTCAAAGTTGTTACGTCATATTACAAAATAGAATATGAAGCTGTCAAAAGTTATCAATAATGGTGTTCGTCAACTTTGGTCAGAAGTTAGCTACAAGTAAATAAACTAAAAAAGGTCATACAATGTCTGATTTGAGGCGCCTAAAACCTAGCCATTTCATGAACCAAATGCATATTTCCATGTTCAAAAAACTGCACATTTTCTATAAAAAAGATTACTTAGTAAAGTTTTTCTTAAAACATCTTGAAAATCCAAACCGTTAAACAAGAATCAAGCTAAACTCTGATTAATAACATAACACATAAAACAACAAAATTTACTTGGCTTTCTTTAGTTAGAAACTTAAATTATTTGCTCAAGAAACAACACTATTTCTATAGCCAAGAAACTTAAAACTTTTTTGTAATATTTTTACATATAAAAAAACGCTACCTTACAAGGCTACAATGCGCGAGCTTTCCTATACTGGATTTCCAAAAAACTAGACTCAGAAAATTTTTAGCTACATCACAATAGATAAATGTTAAATGTTTATAAACTTGTGCAAAGAATGAAAAGACATTTTTCATTTTTGCTAAAGTCAACACTGCAAGAGCCAGTATAAGGCGAGTTTATGCTTTAAACAAGTTACTAGCCAGTATAAGAAGACATTTATCACATATAGACAATGCACTGTAGATCAATTTTTAAACGCCGAACGGTTCTCCAAATAGTAGGCAGGTAGACACAGTTACAGATAGGCATAATGGGGCGGCGGGCGAGTGTAAATTTGTGTGTTAATGTAGTCATACGGGCTAACGCAGGCGGGCAAAGTTGGAATGATCGGAGGGTACATTGGCGGCAGTGTTGGAGTGGATTGTTGGATCAGGTCTGTTCGTAGCATCTGGAAATTTTAAAGTGCGTTTGTTACAATTGGTACATAGATTATTAAAAGGGTGTAGAGAGTAGATTCCACTTGTTCTTCAGCATTAGATACAATCATTGACTTACAAATAAATGGACGACGGGTCTAATACAAAAACCACGAAAAAAATGTCCCAAGTCGAACCTATTCGAAATTTAAATTGTTATGTCATCGCCGTATCGCGCTGTCAGTAGAACAAATGAAGACTAAAGCGGAGTTTGGCGCTCTGTATACGATTTTAGCGCCTTACAAGTGCGGACACTTTTTAGCGCGGACCCGACGTCCATATAATTGTAAGTCAATGGATACAATACACAAATTTTCAGTTCTCGGAAGCGTTTCAACATTTCATACAAAATACGAAGATGAAGAGCTGAAAGTTCGTTGAGGAGTGTAAAACTAGAGTTTAAATTTTAATGGTACTCTAATTTATTCTCTTGGCACTATGAGACAATGCACAGGAGGAACATGCGGCGAGTTTACGCTATAGTATAACGACTTAGCAAGCAATATGTTCGCTATTTTGTCTTTGTATAAGTACTGCACTAAGAGACTAAAATGAATGGAGTTTAAATAAGTCTCAAAAACGAATGATGTTTAAAGAAGTCTCAAAAACAATACCATGAGCTCCTAGAACGGCCGTCATACAAACATTTTTCATTCTTATTTGTTGGCCGAGCTTCAGCGGAGGGTTTAACTCCAACAGTCCGCCCGCAGCCGACTTACGCGTCTTAAGAAAGCAACAGGTTTCGATAAAAGAATTTAATAACCTTAATGCAATGTAGCGCAGTCTCCGCAGCCTCCACCTGCGCCTGCTGCAGCGAGGAGCACGGCCGCGTGACGAGCGGGCCGATGCGGCGCGGCGACAGCAGCAGGGGCGCGCCCACGCCCGACAGCTCTAGTCGGCACACCCACACTTCGGCGCCGGTGCTGGTCATGTACTTCTGGTAGTCGTAGACGGGGGGCGCCCACATGTACCTGAAATACAATTAAATCGCAACTAACTTACAACGACGAGACAAAACCAGCCTTATTGGTCTGTAGCAATCTCTTCTAGACAATCTACTGACGAAATTTGGTATTTCTTTTGTGAATGGCGACTGCGATTTTATTATTTTAAAGGTCAACTTAAACTATGGAACTTGTCTTCTTGTGAGGTCATGCAAATTCAATTGATGACAATCGGTTGCTTTATGAGTTCATGGTAGGCCTCCTGTTGTCTACCAGTGAGACGTGTTATTAGACAGTATATTTTAGTACAGTTATAATATATACTACCTTTTACACATAGCATCCAGCTTAGCAGGAGCGAGCGAGTAGTAATTGTCTTTTGGTGGTGTATACTGGTACTGCGGGAACCTTGAATCCTTCATATTGGGTGGTGATCCACAAGAAGATTCCCCTGCACAGGCAGATCCGAATCCTTCATCTTCCTTTGGCGAGTTTGCATATTCCTTCTGCTCCAAGTGCTGATTGTAAAGCAAGAGTGTTTGAGTCAAGTCCAAACTATTATTGAACTTCGCATTGCCTTTATGTAGCTTTTGTATCTTATATAGCTCTCGGTCTACAGGTTTAGCCCAACGTATTTCAATATTACTGCCGTCAACTTCAGCATTGTCCAACTTAGACATCGCAAGCTCAGCATGCTCTCGCTCATAGAAATGTATGAATGCATAGTCATAAATCTTTTTAACTCTTTCAATTTTATTGTCAATCGCGTTTTCGAAAACCGTTTGAATTGTTTCAGGGGTTGTTCCTATTTTAAAGTTTCTTACATAGAGCACTTTAACCTGGAATATAAAGGAAACTTTTCTAAGTATCTTAATTGGAAGTTTGCAGAAATGATCCAATCCTCTACTATCACCACAAAATTTTTAATCTTTGCTACATAAATATTAGTTGCTGCCGATCTGATCAATGGATAGATGTAGAGACCATAATATTTTTTTTTTAATAAAAAATAAGTGACATTTGACCTCCATCTCACCTGATGGAGTGACGATGAGGTCGAGGATGTAGCATGCACACCTAATTATGAGAGTATTTAATTGTTTTGTAATACTGTTAGTGTTATATAGGTCTTAAAGTGAAGGGGGCACTATGGAAATGAGACAATGTTTTTAACTCTTTATAAGAATGTTATTGTAATTTGAATTTGACGCTTGTTTCAAATAGAATAGACCTAAATAAAGAATTCATAAAGTTTTTTGTCTATGGCCAATAATTATAGAGAAATTTGGCGGGAAATTTTTATTTACTAGGAGGTCAGCACAGAAATTTTATAAAAAATATTAGTGCTCGTTTTGAATAGATTACATCTAGATACACACTTTGTTCTTAAACATTTTTGTCCATGTCTGATAGTTTTTGAATAAACTGAAAAAAAAAAAAACCCACAGGAGGGGATTGAATCCACTCAGAAATGCAATCAAATTCGCTTCAGCTTTTCCATATACTAAACCTAACCTAAACCCACACGAGGGGGTGGAATCAAATCGAAAAAGCAATCAAATTGATTGTATAACGAAAGTAGTAAAACAATCGAAATTTTTCTTAGTGCTAGGCTTCACAGTAAATAAAAATTATTTGATAATTCTCAGGCATAGAGGGACAATTGTAAAAATAAAAAATGTTTTGATCTAATTATTATTATTTATATTTTGTTTAGATCTATTCGACTTGAAACAAGCATTAAAAACAAATAATTTTTTGTTCAAAGTCCCGTTTCCATAGTGCCCCCTATTGTACAGTCCAACTATTACATAACTCTACAGAGCACTTCTGCCTTAGACTGTTTAATTTAAAATTCTCACGTGATAGTTACTAAACACATTCTTGCGTCAGGCAGGAATAGCTTTAGAATGCCAACTAAGGTACTCGCAGGAGACTGGTTGAAATAAGCACATGCTCAACTTTAAGGTCAGTGACGCAAATAAGACTTCTCAGTTTAATAGAATTTTAATGTCAATATTGCCTTCTATAGAGTCTTTGACACTCACCCCTGAACAGGCACAAGCAAAATAAAAATATAGAGCTAAACAATCCTAATTCGGTTGCTGGTTGCAGTGTTGTAAAGCACTACAGGCCTTGAATAATAATATCAATACCTGATAATAATAATACTTGATTAGACAATACCAAGAAAATAACATTTCTGTAGCAAAATATACAAATTTGAGGTGATAAAATATGGGGTTATTTCTGTTTGACTATAACCAATTAAGAGAGAATACAATTTTTTACTACTAGTATTTTTCTTACATTTCTACATCAGCTATAATCAGTGATCCGAATTGAAGGAATTAATTTAACTAAACTAAAGAATAACATGGATATTCCCTTCTAAAAATCCCAGGACTTCTCTGATCTGATTATACTCCAATATGCATATTATTTAATGAAATTTGAGAACATTGGCGAGAAACTATTATTTCCTATTAAGCATTTGGTACAAATTAATGTCTCCAAAAATTAAATTGTAGTTGGCGTTTCAATTTATTGTTATAATTTATTCAATTTAAATATGTTAACCATTTAAAAAATAACACGAGACAACTTATACTTTTGATTGTTTAGAAAAGAAACAGTAAAATACGAATATTTATACACATTGATGACAAAATGGGTATGTCCATACTAAGAAAACGTTCATGCTTTAGGTAGATAACTCCCTCAATTCAGATAACTGACCATAATACATGGAGCCACTTGAAGAAACTGGACAAGTCCCTTAGTTTGTTATGGTAACAGTAAAATTGGTCATTGAAACCCAATGTCCTTGCTTATCTGGGCAAAATATAAAAGTAATATGATATGTAAACAATGAACAGCTGCGTGACTGTTATACACCTACTTGCCTAGACTATACCATTCAAGTTTACTACAGCAAAGTAATAGGCAGGGCATAAAAGAAAAGAAAGAAAATTCGCTATTGCTGTCAGAAAGCGGTGACCAGTACACAGCTTGAGATGTCTTTAAAGAATTAAAATCGGCAAATGGCAGAGCATATAATAGAATGTCTTGCTTTATAATCTTATCTTCGGTGTTCTTAACTAAGGAAAATTACGAAGGTATTATGACTTTTACACTTAAAAGTTTGGACCAGTGCGAGATCCGTGCCCATCAATGCAGCAGCACATTAATACAGTCCACGAATTAAAGTTAGAACTTACCCGTTTCATCTGCTCATCGTCAACGTCTGGTTCAGGCTCGGCCCAGTCCACCATCACTTCTTGATCCCATATCTTGACACAACCAGGTACGAGCGCACGCCTTGCCATGGCCGCAGCCCGGTGCGACGTGAACTCCACAAACGCGAAACCTCGGTTCAACCTTCGATCGAAGCAGTTCTTATACAGGATTACGTTAACAATCCCTTGAACACGTTTAGAAAGCTCTTCCATAATCTCTTCCTTCGTTTTGCTCCTTGGAATCCCACCGACGAATAGTCGGCAATTGTCTACAGACTTTACGACGCCAATCTGCCTGCCAGGTCGTATTTCGTAACCGTTCAGCTCCTTGATGGCCCTGTAGGCCTCAACTCGAGTCGTGTACGTTACGAAGGCGTATCCTCTGTTCGATCCAGAAAAATCCATCATCAACCGCAGTTCGTATATCTTTCCAAACCGAGAGAAGATCGGCACCAGCTCGTCTTCGAAGATCTCTCGTGGCAGTTTCCCAATAAAAACTTCACTGCCTCTGGGTGGCGGTGCACCCTCCCAGTCCGGGGGTGGCCCAAACCGTCGCTGACCGTTCTGCTGGACAATGGGGTAACCGGTCTTCTCCATCAGGTCAAGTAGTTTATAAGTCAACACGTTGCCAGGGTTCTTCACTAAAGCGTTCATGGTAAAAGCATAGATACTCATGCACAATCAAAATCAAAATGACGAAAAAGCGGTTTCTCAAAGCCGCGGCTCTCTTTATACTTTGCCGACAAAGTGTTGCGGCGGCTATGACGTCACGGCAAGTTCGAAAATGCCGGCGAGATTCGATGAAGTTTTTATACTTTTATGTTTATTAATTTCAAAAAACTACAATTCTATAGATTGTATCACATACTAAGAAATAAGCAATATTAATTAATCATTTGCTAGTTATATCTTTGGAAATGTGTTTAAACTCAAGAAAAAAGTACTTAAGTTCAGAATTGTTCGGCGACACAAGCTCCAATAGGTGTCTACAATTTTGTCAAAATGTTTGAATATTTTTATTTTTTAAATTCCTTTAATATGTCCAATATTCTTTAGTATAATCAAACAATTATTATAAAAAGAAGTAACAAATTTTTCAGTTATACCTTGTTTAATTTTAACATTAAAAGTTTAAAAAAATTCAAAGCTTATGAAACGCGGGAAATTTAAGTATTTTCATATATATTTGTCTGATTTACCAACAATGACGTAAACGGCTAGTTTTCAATTGTTATTCAAGGCACACATATTTGGTATTACTTAATACAAAAACAAATTATTATACTTCAGGTTCTAAATCAACTTCTCTGCGCTGCCAAGAGATGGCGCTGTACAAAATAAAATGTCTTGATCGCTTTTAGCTTGTTCCAAGGGTTCGTATAGCGTGCCAGCAATATTTCGCGACTGCAGTCGCACCGACTCACTGCTTGCTACTTGTTTTAACATGTAGAACTAAATGGTTTAGTGCAGCGTGCCCTCGTGCAGTCTTGCAACGATCAGTAAGTCGTCGCAAGTCGCTTGCGACTACTACTGGATGGTCAATTAATGCTCCTATTAATTATTAGATTATTACATAAATAAATAAAATTATAATAATGGACCCCAGATAGGTCAATTGATGCAGTTCGTAAGCGATGCAGAATATTAATTGGATGAATGTTAAATCTCCTTATCTTTCCTATGGCACGGACCCGTAAAATGGAATTTTCCAACAATAAAAGTTCTGATATATCCATTTTCCTGTAGGGATGATAATTCTTCGAAAATTCACAAAGTTATCGGTCGGTCGCCGGCAGTGTTTCGTCGCTAGTTGCCCGCATGCTGCACAGTATTTAGTCGTTAGAAGTCGTTGTGAGTCGATGCAACCGAGTCGCCACATATCGCCCGCACGCTACACGAGCCCTAAAGTTTCCTTTGATCATTATTGGTAAAGAATAATAGAATATGAGAATAGTTGATTTGACAGTTAGTTTAGGAACTACAGGTAGATAGATAAATGCGGAACATTTTATGCGACTCGAATTAAATATTTATTGATAAAATTACAATTTACATGCTCTTAATCTACTTACAACACACAAACACAATAATTACAAATTCGGGTATTTGTAACGTTACATTTTAAACATCAAAATATACAGATAATCACATATAACTACGCTAAGCTCTAATTTGGCATAAGAGAACAATATCTTCAACATTTTTGTAATTGCGAACTAACTATAGTTGAAAGAAGAATAATACTATAATATTGTTGTTTCGTAGGCAAACGGGTTAATTCAGGCTAGCATCGCTAACAACTCGAGGCGGTTGGTTTCTTTGAAAAAATAAATGTATATTTATTATATATATTTATTAATCTATTAGGTTATTTCCAATATGTAGCAATAGCGAAAACCTAGGAACTCGAATTTGTAGTTTGGCTTTCACGTTTTCGCTTACTAACGGTAGATCCACATACGAGTGCTAGTTCCTATACAGTGTTCTCAGTAAAAAGGTAAGTTCGTTTCGCTTTTAAAAAAAATTTGCGTTAGTTATGTATATATAATGTCGGGTAAAAATTATCCGGAAAAATTCCTGAGAAATTGGTAAAATATAATTCGAAGGCTCATATTATGTTCTACGTTTAAATATATCTTTTGAAGTTATATTTAAAGTGAATTATAAAATAAAATTGTATAGTTAAAAGCAATTTAGAGTAAAACGAGATTTAAAATGATTAAACAACAGCGGAAAAATAATTTTATAGTAGTTTTATTAAGAGTTTTGTTCTGGATACAAGTCCTTTGAGCCATGTCTTCGTTTAATTATCGGGATCTTCAATAAATATTTTCCATTGTAGCCCTAATACATTATATTTTCTCTTTCTCTTAAATCACTTTATTGTCACTTTGAACAAAATCTTTGAATTCGTAATTAGTGAAATTTTCAGGATAAAATCTTTTGTAGTTTGGTTTAAAATAAGGAATATAGTTCTAACTTTCTTCATCATTATTCTTCATAATATACTTAACATAAAAATAATCTTTGTAAAAACTGTACTTTTAACTTCAAAAGCCCGCCATTCATCTTCAAAAAAACCTCATACAGTGGACTAATCTTTTTCGTTCAGTAACTTCACCTCAGGTGAAATTCGTTACTGTGAATTATGGAAAAATATAGGAATATTTTTTCTGAAAAATATTAATTTTTCAAAATTGAATTTTTTTTTCATTACCCAACACTAGTTATACATATCACAGATAAGTTGGTGGCACTCTGTAAGCTTCCTTGGAGCAACTGTGGCTATTGTTCTCTTCGGCCAAACAATAATTTTATCACAATTGCACAAAGCAGATCTTTTAAATCAAGGAACATTTTTCTATATTTTGTTGTTATTTGCCTTACATATTATAACACCCTGCCGAGCAGTGGAACGCGTAGATTTATATGATTTCATTTCACAATCCCAAACAAGGGCAATAGCGTCGCCTTGTTATTAGAACCTCGTGTGTCCACGATTTTTCCAAATCCACTTTTTCAGTTCATAACTTGCAGCAAAATTAAATGTCTATTGTAATTCATTACAGAATTGATTTTTTTAAAGGTTTCTTCCTACTTTTGAAAAATATGAAAAAAGTGTAAGGTGACGATATGTGCACTAATATTCAAAGGTATTAGAAATATTTTTTTTTTAATAATATGTTGTTAAATTTTATAGAATTGATTTACAACGTAGTTTTTTCATGAATGGATAAATCCGTCTACACGGTCGAGTGGTAGGGCCACAGTTTTCACTTACACAGGGCATACACCTCTATATAGCAACGCATACTTGACATCGCCGTCATCGTTTATTAAGATGTTCGGTATAAATCATAGATGGCGCCACTTTATCTGCTCCTCACTCAAGGCGGTTTTGCATTGTTTTATTCAGCTAAGGATTATTGATTTATGTTTTCCAGCTACTAAGTATGTGGTTAAGTGTGTGTTCATATCTCCGAGTGGTCCATAGCCTTGTTGTCGTAGCCCCTACCGATGTCGGGCGCAGTTGTGACCGAGGCGTTGTCGGTGTCGAAAGCCGGCGGTTCAGCGTCGCGTACCCACGGCTGCCGCTCGCCCGAGCAGAACATGAAGTAGATTACCGCGCCTAGAAGATAGATGGCGCTGGACAAGAAGAAAACTATACGCCATTGTTCTGCCGTCTGTGAATAAAAAGATATGTGTCAATGTGTCGCTGCGGTTAAACGTGTGTGTGTGACTTCCAGACAACCTTAGGATTAAAAGTTCAAAACGGGGATACAACCAAAGAATATCTTCTAATAGAGAGAACAATTCAATAATAATATATGAATAGTGACGCGTGTTTGTCACATTATTATGATTAATTTTAAGTAAATGGACTTGCTCTTAACCTCTATCTAGCCCTGAGGCAGAGTATCTACGACAGAACGAGCTCATACAGTAGATGCGTATTCAGTCGCATCTTAAAGATACTTGGGTTGTATGTACCCGGAAACACAGTCCCAGACTGGAGTTTCCATATAAAAGACGAGTGATATTACAAAAGCAATACCTTATTTGTAACAATGGAGCCGGCCAAAGGTGGGCTGACGATGCCCGGTATCGTCGCCACCGTGTTGGAGAGGCCCATCAACACGCTGGCGTGGGGTGGCGCGATGTCCAAGTGGTTAACACTAAAACGGATGAATACTTCATTTAACCACGGAAGTAAAAAAAAACAATAGAAACCTATTCGATTACTTTCAGAACCGCTGTCACCAAAACTCAAATTATAATAATGTTAAATGTTATGAAATCTTGATAATCAAATTGTGAACTGTTAATACACCTTAAATAATACTTTTTGTCGAAAGTTAAATATCTATTATTGCAAGATACGACGTTTTCATTTTATATTGAAATTTCATTACATGTGTTGCCATCTAGCGGCAATAGTTGAAACCAAGGACGATGAATGCCCATTAACAAAAAAGTCGACCATAGTGCTGCGGCATAAGATTTACTTTTGTTTCTTATTACAAAAAATCTATTACGATAAACAGGAAATGGAAAAATTGTTAAAATGATATGAAACACGGTAGTGTTACCATAGATAATATTAGGGGTTAAAGTATGAAATTGCCGTTTTATTGCAAT